AGCCTTTTTTAATGTCTGAATTGAAAGCGTGTGTTCATTGCATTTACAATCTTACTCAATATCAATTTTGCTAAACGGCTCTTCAAAATTATCTGTCATTGACGTTAAATTTTGTCATTGTTCAAGTTAGAGAATATTTCAAAATCTACACATGCATAGAAATTCTTGATAGTCTATTAAATATTCCACTACATTTATTCTTCATAAGGTGTGGCTAGGACGAATAATATATATATATATATATATATATATATATATATATATATATATATATATATATATAAGCCCTTTTACCTCAAGTAAGACAGGATTGGCACTAACACGCAAGGGGTTACAGAGAATGAGAACAAAAGAGTAAAGATGGATGTTTTAGGAAAGGATGTAGAGAAGGACGGGGATCAGAATGAAAGCAACAGAAGATGTCGATTGGTTTTATATTTGAAGATTATGGCTACCAGGGAAGCAAGTAAATAGAAGTGCTACAGAACCAGCTGTTGGAATAGAAATGGTGGTTACATTTAACTGTTTCTACAGTGAAAGGGTGGGACCGAGATGCCAACCTAGTAGCATGCTTAAATTCATACAGTTGGGGTGCCAGGGAAAGTAGCTCGTCGGAGCAGCTGCCATGAAAATATTTGTAGAAAAAACATAGGGAAGCGGCATCACGTCTCTGACTGTAGACGAGATACCAGATCAGGACCTTACACCATTCCTATACATCCACATTATTAGTAATTTCGTCTCAGAAAATAAATTCTTAGTAATAATACTCTGAGCAAACCATCAAATATGCGTCTATGTTCAATAAAATATTTATGAATATTTATATGAAAACGAGTTTGTGACGACAGAATATAAGTTATTTGGCATTTAACGTATCCTTGGCTAAAATAATAGATGTTGTGGCTTATGGGAAATAAATATGCATGCAACTAATTATCGGTATGTTCGTAACCAAGTACTTCAGGGATTGTCTCGAAACAATAAAATTTTAAAATGTTTTTATTCAGCTTCGAGGGAGCAATTAAAAACCAAGTACCGTAACATGGAAATTTATAGGAAATAGGCAAATGAAAAGGGAGATAACCCAAACGGGAGAAAAATTCACCCCGTAAAAGTTATATGCTAAAGACAGCATAGAGTTAACTCCATGAGTGTACAAACAGTGTCCGTATTCACCGCTGGAAGCAAACACGTATGCATTACATCTGTTACCGTGAATTAAATTTTTTTCAGGTATTTTAAAATAAACTCTGTGATTGTTATATTGAAAAGAAAAAGCAAATTTTTATTTTTTATATAATAAAGTTTTTCATCGATTGATCTTTAAAAACAATATACGCTGTAATTCTTATTACACAGCATTAAGTTAATAAAAAATGGTAGGATGCTACCTGTTATTGAGAATTAAATAAAAAACTAAGGCGACAATAAAAAGCAACTTTCAAGGAGAGAGAAGATTAATATGTTATATTGCATTTCAATTTTGAAGCTTGTAAATGACAGTAATGCAAATGCGGGGAGGGAATCCTCAGGCCAGCAATCAGGGAGAAGAAATATTTAGCATAGGTCTTATGGTTACAACTTTAATTTTAACATTGAAATAAGCATAAGTGCCAAGTGATTAATTTCCTGAAGACATGGACCAAATAACTGTTGTGTCGGAACCCTCCACATCTCTTGAAGATGAACTTGTCTGCGTCTGTGAACAGAGACTTTAAATAATGAAAAGATAGATAGACAGGGAAGTTCTTAGCTGAGCGAGTTATTGACTACTCAGGCGATTTCTGTACCTTTTTACCAACCTATTAAAACACTTTTTATTGTTACGTGTTATTTGGCGTTTGTCTCTACTAACCCCAAATCAACATCATAACAATAACAAATCATAAAAAAAAACAATTAAAGTAAAAATATTTATAGAAAAGGCAACACAATTCTATGCTATGGTGGTGAAAATGTGATTGAAAACAAAATGGAGGGTCAGGACATATAATTTTGCAGGTTCTTTGGATTTTATCAAAATAATCTCAAAAAGATGATTGATAAAGATCATTTATGGAAATTACGGGATTTCTTTCTCAAATTGATGCATAAAATCTTACCATTTTATTATTTTACAAGTCTCTGATTCGATGAAAATACTCCGAAAGAAGTTAAAATTTTATTTGTAATATAACGCAGAAGAAGCCGTTAAGCATTTTCTATTTTTTATAGCGAAACAACAGTCAAGTGGGGCCAGCAGACTTGGTCCGATTGGAGACTGTGTATTTGGAGATCAACAAAGATCAACACGGCTTATACATTTAGAAGGAAACAAATAAGTGACGCCTTCTGGTGTGTCTCTCCAAGATAGTGACACATTTCAGAAAACAGATAAGATTTAGCGTCTCTCATATTTGTGAGGACTGCTGTTAAGATGTCAACGAGGGACATTTTAATCATACAATGATGGTGAAGAATACGACAAAAACAAATAAAGGGAAATTAATAAAAGAGAAAAGGGTAAAGAAAAAGATAAGAGAAATAAATTGTATCAGAAGAAGAGAAAAAGAGAGTTAAGTGAAAATATAAGAAAAGTAAAGAAAATAACTAGGTAAATATAAGATAGGAATGGAGATGAAGGAATAGACGATAAAAGAAAGTTAACGTGATTAAGTCTGAAAGAGACAGAAGACGATGATGATAAAAGAAAAGAAAACGACACGATATAAAGAAAGAACGATGTCAAACGAAAAAATAGTGTCGATAGATATGAACACTAGAGAAGAGGAAATCGATTAAAAAAGATGATGTTTTACAAGAAGACTTGTAAAGAAGAGTGACGACAAAGTTATAAAGTAACAAGACATTAAAAAGGAGACAACAACAATATAGAAATCTTTAAAAGGAAATGAAGAGGAGAAGCGAAGAAAAAATAAGATGATAATGAAAGACAATGAAGTAAAAGAAAGAAATTGAAGACAAGAAAATAAGATAAAAGAAAGACGTTAAAAAAGAAGACATCGTTAACAAAAAAGAGTGTTAAAATCAAAGAGGATGTAAATGACAGACAATTAAAAAGGAAAAGATAACGGAGACGATAAAAGAAATACAATATGAATTTAGCAGGCCAGAGATACAGAAGGCAGGTTTTACTTTGCCAGAAAAACAGAAATAAAACATTCAGAAGAAGAATGTAGTGAAAAGAAATAAAATAAACGTCAGCTAGCGAAACGAAGAATAAGGGAATAAAAAGTGTAGTAAGTGACAGAGTATAAAACGTGGAATAAGAATGGAGTGGAAAACGAAATGTAAGCTCATTGAAAAAGAAATGACAGACGTAAGAGGAGTAAAAGAAAGGAAAAAATGTGAGGCATAAAATAGATTTCAACTTAAATCAGCTGTATTTCTGAAAGCAAGAATTGCATTCTAAATTTGTAACACAATTTCTCTTTCCCCTCTATCTGCATCATGTCTTTTCAATAAATTAACTCTCATGGTTCTATACAGCTTCCCGAATTTTGTTGTCGAAGCATTACTTATTCTTAACTAGCTTTAGTCATTCGAATATTGTCTAATGGTAAAATGGCCAAATTTTAACTCTGGTATGTCGGTCTCTTGACTCTTTTTTGAGATCAAATTGTACTTACTTTTTTTGGTAAACTAAACTCACTAAAGTACCACACAAGTGGATTGTAACTGTAGTAGCAACATTTATGCGAAGTCGTAGGAAACAAGAGTAACTTCGCAGTTAAGCTCCGACATGCTATTTCATTAACATTCCATTCTATTCATATTCCATTACGGAAAGAAGAGTTCCATTCGGACAGATTCTTCACAAGAACCGTAACTTTGAGGAACAGACTCCTGAGTGCATATCCCCCCCCTATATGTTAAGGGTTATTCTTAAATCCTTCCCAAGTAGATCTAGTTTTCCTAACAAGTCTAATAATAGTTATGTCGTACGTTATCTAATACCCAACTCATATCGCACATACAAAGTGCCAAAAGAAGCGGGAAAGTTTTTCCTGTAAACCTATGTATACCTGGTCGATACATATTAAAACAGACTTGTCTCAAATTTGCACTTTTCTTAGAATTTAGGTATTTTCCTTCTAAAATATTGTATATTAATGTTAACATGACTAATCGTTACAATTTCACGGTTTTCCTATTTTTAATTTTTTTAATTCTCCCCTTACAATATGGGAATCCCCATATTTCATTGTTAATATCGAAGATTGACAACTTTACAAAATATCGCAATGACAGTCATGAATATGTATTCAGGTCATTTGTAAGAAATAACAGGGTACAACTTAAGAGATTCAAAACTGACGTGGTTCACAATTTCACTGAAGCAGGTGTTAAATACATGAGAGCATGATCACTTCCTTTCTCTCTCTTCTTTTTCTTTCTTTTTATTACCTTGACTTTCTAAGCGTGGCATATATGGGCACGAGTCCGAAAGCGAGAGGTACTCAGTGAGGATCAAACTCGCTAATCAGTCGTAACTGTCCTAGCGAGTCAAGCTTGCTAACCATTACACCACGTTGAGGTAGTCTTTCCTTCTTATTTTGTGTGATTTCTTTTTTTCTCGTGAAAATGGACAGCATCTTTGATATAACTTTTTCTTCCTTTTTTTTTCTCGCAATCAAAACGGATCAGTCGATTATTGAGCTGAGATAATGATAGGTCGTTGTGTACAAATGACTAACTTACTAGCAAACGGGGGAAAAAACAAATTTTTAATAAGGTTCCTCAAAAATGAAGTCAAAAAACTTACTGTTTTTCCTCACTTTAGCCGATTCAGCTTTGTTTTGTAGGCACTCACTATATAGTGGCACTGTGTTACGATCGATATATCTACACCTGTCATTTGGTCTGTTAGTTGAAGTTGCTAACCAACAAACCACTAGATAAACACTAAATTATTTATTAAGACAGCAACAATATTGAAATCACTACACCTGCAAAATGTTCTGCTAATCAACCACTTTTTTCTATATAAATTCTGT